TGTTAGGTAATAATATGCATATTTTGAATGTGAAACATTTCTTTAGGAGAAGTTAATACTTATCAATGGTGGAGTTCAAGTAATATTAATTAATCTGACAACTTCAATCCCTTTTCCATCTACCATGATGTTGCCTACTGGCCTTGTGGTGTGGACCTATGTTTTCTTGATGTGGAGATGTAAGCCGCATTAGAGACTAATGTCCCAGACCTTCTGCACCAAGTGCAGAATATTAATTGTTAATATTTTTTTAATATTTGTACCATATTAAGTTGTTAAGAACAGGTTCTGGTGTAAACTGCTGAGCAAAGCAAGGGATGCATTTATTATATGACTTATGTCAACAGGTAACCCATCAATTCCTGGGGCCTTACTTTTTGGCAATACCTTCAATGCAGTTTAAAGCACTTTTTCCTTCATTACCATTGGCCCTTGTTCATCTCCTGAAGTTTTTCAGTGTCAACCAATTCTTTTTGGCACAGTGACTTGGATGAATAATGTTTCTTGAAACCCATCATTTGTGCAATCACTGGAGAGTTCTGGTGGCGTAGGCTGCAGGGACTTGTGCTGCTAACCCAAAGGTGGTGCTGGGCACCTCTCTATTGGTTGGATTTCACCAGCAGCTCTGAGAGAGAATGATAGGCAATCTCCTCTTGTGTAATTAGGGCCTTTGAAACAGCTCCCTCCCCCAGAGGGTCAGTTATAAGGTAATTTTAAGTCCATGGACAAATGAATGGTATTTGCACTAAAGGGCTCACTACACAGTCTGTAGTGTGTTTCACTACTAGCGAAGTGACTGCTCACTCCCAACTGTTCCTCGGGAAAAAGAGGGGCAGTCAATTCCTGTTAAAATTTACAAGCTTTGAAACCCAAAGGAGGGTTACCATGAATTAGAATCCATTCAATTGTGGTGAGAGAAAGTTTTAATACTTCTCTCATCCTTTTCTTAAAATTTTTATTTTATATTGTTTTGTATATAAAATTCGTATACACTCTGTTTCACACTTTCCTTCATTAACACTGTGTTTTATAAAATTAACTATGCCCACCATTATTAGTCTGTTCAGATCTCTGCCACATTTTTCCCATTTCCTTTATCCCCTCTCCTCCACCTACCAAACTGTGCAACCCTGTAATATCCACCCACCTACCCTCAATCCTCTGCTACCAACCCTTCTCCTCTTGGCCCTCCATACACCTTTTACTGGTTATCCTTCTATTTTTACAATGGTCTTATGCAGTATTTGTCCTTATGAGACTGAGTTAGTTCACTACACATAATGCTCTCCAGTCCTTCCCAGGTAGTATTTTTCAAAATTCTTACTCCTTAGTGTTACATAACGTGGTTGGACATTTAGGTGTTACCATGTTCTTGGAATTGTGAATAACACTGCTATGAACACTGATGTACAAATCTCTGTTTGTGTCTCAGTTCTAATTTCACTGGGGTATATACCTACCAATTGAATAACTTGGTCATATGGAGTTTCTATGTTCAGCTTTTTGAGGAAATATCAAACTGTCTTCCAGAGTGTTTGTACCATTTTACAATCCCACCAGCAATGTATAAGAATTCCAGTCTCTCCACAACCTCTCCAATATTCATTGCTTGCTGTCCTGTTAGATCTTTGACACTGCTACTGGAGTGAGATGGTATTTCTTTGTGGTTTTGATTTGCATCTTTCTTACTGCCAGTGATTTTGAGCATTTCTTCATGTGTCTGTTAGCCACTTTAATGTCTTCCTCTGAAAAGTCTTTCCAGGTATTTTGCCCATTTTGTAATTGTGTCATCAGTCTTTTCCTTATGGAGGCCCTGAAGGATACTGTAACTTTTTTTTTTAAGTATGCATCTCCTATCAAGGATCTTAACTTTTTTTCTAAATATACTTTTTTATACTCGTTTACTTACAAAATTCATATACATTGTTTTTTCACACCAGATCTTTCCTATTTCCTTAACCCACTCCTCCCTCCATCCACCAAAATGAGCTACCCTATGATTATGCCCTCCATCCATCCTCCCCCCTTTAGATTCTCATACATCTTTTACTAGTTATCTACTTCTAATTATCTAGGATTCTGTAAACTTTTTGTTATATGTTTTTTACCAGTTAACAAGTTTTCTTTCCACACTATTTGGAAAAATTTTTTGATTCAGACATATAGACGGTCTCATTCATCAATTTTATCCTCTCCTGGTTGTCATTTCCGGCTGTATTTTTCAGCCTCTTTATACCACAGGCTTGGCTTTCTAAGCTTCGTCCCATTTTGTTTCTTATGATCTTTACAGTTTTGGATTTTGCCCCTAAGTCTCTAATCTGCCTTGAATTGATTTTTGTGTATGCTGTGGGATGTGGATACTGATTTAGCTTTCTGCACAGAGATGTCCATTTTGCCAGAATTATTTGTTGAAGAGGTTGTCATTTCCCCACTTAAGAGATTTTGTTTCCTTACTGAATATCAGCAAGATATCTGACCACAGATAGATGAGTTAATTTCTGGCTTCTCGATTCTTATCCATTGGTCTATGTGCCTATCATTGTACCAGGGCCATGTTGCTTTGGTTATTAGTGCTGCATAGTAGGTTTTCTCATTGGCCTTTAAAGACTATAGTTATGAACTGTATCTTACAGTCAATGCATAAGTCTCATAGAGTTTTATGACTTTCCAACCATATAATCTCCACCTCTCAGTTTCAACTATATATTCACCTCACAAGATTTTCGTGGAGATGAATTATTTAAAACTTTTAAAAGTGCCTAAAATAGAAACCACTGTAGACAATTAACCTATAATAATTATTAGCTACCCTGTTTCATGAAAACAATAGTTTCTAAGGTAGCTGCAGCATTGATGACAATATGAAAATGACCAATACTACATAATCATACTCCAGAGTTAGATGATGCTTCTCTGACAAAATTACTTTTGAAAGGATACTTGACATCCTCGGAAAACAGTTTTAATAGTGCATAAAATGGTGGTCTAGTGGCAAGGAATAGTTATACCGATTTACTCACGTTTCATATCCATATTCCGAGTTTTATAAACAAAGTATGTATAAATCTGCGTTGTACGTATCAGAATCTGGTCTCCACTGTAACGTATTGAGCGATACCACCAAGAGCCCTAAAACATAAACAGAATTATATAAGAAGTAATACATGAAAATGAAAATATGTTAAATTCAGGATATGCTTATGGTCAAATTTTCCCATTATTCATAAACCAATGCAAACGTCTCACACTTTGTCACATTATTTCATTATTTATTTAGCAGCTTATACTTTCTGAAGATTAAATTTCCAAGTTTCAATTAGAAATTATTTGAAGAGAAAATGAGACTAAGCAACAAGTTAGTCCTTGACATTTAACTATTTTCGGTAAATATTTGACAAATAACTGTAGTGGCAATTTTATAGCTGGCTATAACCATTTTAAAATTATCTTTACCAAAATTTTCTTTTTAATAATACTTAGTATTTTCCACATCTGCTAGATCACCCTTCTTTGGAATGAGCAGAAATAATGGATCTTTTTCAGTCATTTGGCCAAGTAGAAATTTGAATTAGAGCTTCCAGTATCACGTCTTATTTGTTGAAACCTTTCAATTAATATTATACCAATCTCTAGAGCTTTGAATTTTTCCAATGTGCTTCTTTGTTCACCACCACTGCGTCTTGATCATGTGCTAACTCTTGAAATGTTTGAATGTCAATCAATTCTTTTTGGTACAGTGACACTGTTTATATCCTCCTATCTTCTTTTGCTGTTTCCTACATCAGTTCAATATTTTTACAATAAAATCCTTGAGTACTGAGGCTTGAATTTTTCTTCAGTTCATTCTGCTTAAGACTGCTAAACATGCTCTTCTCTTTGGTTTCCTAACTCCAGATCTCTGTACTCTTGATTACAAAGTTTTATTTTGTTTTTTCAAGTAATTCTATAAAAGCTTTTGTTCACCATTTCTTCCTTTCATTTTACCTATTCTACAGTCAAAAGCAAGTTTCTTAGTCTCTTTTGACAATCATTTTGGTCTTTTCTTTCTTCTTCGGTTTTCAAATGACCTTTTACTTTCTTCAATATGATGTTCTTAATGTTATTCCACAACTCATCATTAGTGTTCAGTATGTCAAACCTATTTTTGAGACTGTCTATAAGGAGGCGTAAAAATGGACACAGAGATGGTACATCACACGTGAGAGAAAAAATTAACAGCCAGTAACAGCCAATAGATGATTTATATGAGGCAGAGTCAGACATGCATCCATCCATCTTCCCATCTTTCTAATTTTTCCACCAACTGCCTCTCACAAGGCAGTCTCTACCTTTGCCATTGTAATGACCACACGGAATTCAAAGAACAGTCGTGGTTTTTCAGGAAGTAACAATTCAGGATAAAGAATACTCAGAACATAGTTCTTTAATCAAGACAGCCTCCACTGAACTATGTCCACTAGCAGGCCTCTCTCTAATTCTCAGTCTCTCAGGGCTTGACTTCTGTCCTGCTAGAGCAAGTGTTACAAAGCTCTTTTAACTCTGCTGATGTAAATAATCAGAGGATCTTCTGCCTGCCAGTACATCTTGGCCCAAAGACAAACTTCCCTCTACCAAGTGCCCACAGCACAACTCAGTAAGCAAGCTTCCTGCCCTGAGTGCCCAAAGGCACTCAGCTCTTTCACTCCCTAAGCTGAGAAGACCATTGCTCTGTCTTATGTCAATCACTTGGTTTTATAGTTACTCCTGCTATTTCTTTGCTACTACTTCTAATCATCTTAACAAGGTGTTTCAGTTCTTGGTCTCACATAAAAGATGAATGGGAATCTTGAGTTTTCTTTCCACCTCTACCATGGTTCATTTTAAGCCTAGATAGATGGAAAAACTGACCAATCTTTACACTGTTTTTGTTATGTCCCATCAAGTTGCCTGTAACTCACAGCGACCAACAAAAGCTCTGAAGCCTGCCCTGTCCTTAACCAGTCTCACTAACTCTGATACACCCACCCCTACTACCTCAGTTACTTATCAATCCATCTCATCTAGGGTCTTCCTCTCCTGGGCAATCTCCTCCTGTGTGATTAAACTGCCCCTAAAAACCCACTGAAGGATCAGTTATGGGTCAGTTCTGACTCTAACTTGACAGTGCACAACAATAACAACTTAGTCATTAGAGGGGGCTCTGGTGGCCTAGTGGGTAAGGAGCTGCACTACCAACTCAAAGGCAGGAAGTTCAAATCCATGAGGTTGGCAATCTCCTTCTATGGAAATTACAGCTTCTGAAAACTTGCTGAACGATCAGCTAGAAATTAGTTCCAACTCTCAATGGTTCATAAAATTAACAACTAAGTGTTTGGTGGGAATCACAGCCTATGGTCAAAAGGACATATTAAGTAATTCACTACTCTCTACGTGGGAAATATTCAAAGACTTATTTTGGCTCTCTTCATTTTCTTCAGCTTTTTTGGCTCTCTTCATTTTCTTCAGCTTCAACTTGCATATGCGTGGTTGATCATCTCTTTCACACCTGCCCATTGCCTTGTTCTGGTTGATGATATTAAGCTTACTCATCATCTCTTTTTAGAGATGAAGGCAATTCCATTCTTGTTTATTCCATCCAGTGATTCCAAGTATATAATTGTGATTTGTGTTGTTGAGAAAAACATTTGCAACAAAAATTCATTGGTCTTTCAAAATTCTTTTATGAAATCTCCATTTTCATATCTATCACCAAGTCCTATCTTAGAACTACCAATCCTCCTTCATTTCAAATTTCTCCATTATTATGACTAGTAATAATCAATTCATCTTAATTACATTTGATCAATTTCAGACTGCAAAGGTTGGGAAAAATCTTCAATTTGTTCATCTTGAATATTAGTGGTGGGAATGTTGTTGTTGTTACGTGCTGTCGAGTCACTTTTGACTCATAGTGACCCTATGTACAAATGCCCTAAACCCTGCTCTATCTCTGGCCAACCTTATCATCTCTGACACAGCTATCTCCATTACCCCAGTGACTGAATAAATCCATTTCATCGAAGGTCTTCCTCTCCTGCGCTGTCCTTCCACACTCCCAAGTATGACAACCCTCTCGAAGGAATGATCCTGCTTTGCAACATGTCCAAAGTATGTAAGATGAAGCTTCAGAATCCTTGCCTCCAAGAAGCAACCTGGCTTCACCCTCCAGGATGAACTTGTTTCTTCTCCTAGCAGTCCATGGTATATTCAATACTCTTCTCCAGCACCACAACTCAAAGGCATCAATTCGCCAATTTTAATAATATTCATATTAAGTGGTATTCTTCATACATGTGAATATCTTTTCCTGTCACTGACAACAATGTATTTCAGGACAGATCCTAAAACGTTTTCATTGGCAATAAATGCAACATTGTTTTCTCTGTCCTATCAATATGTAGACTATATGACCGCCTTACTCAAAATAGCCAGTATAAGTCATTTCAGCTCACTAATGTCTAGAATATAAAGCTTCAAATGATTCATGTCTAGCAACATTCTATTTTGTTAGAGGGATACTTCATACACATCACAGTCTAATTAAAGGATGTATGCAGTTGCTGCTTCTCCTTTTGAGTAATGCCACATCAGCATGAATGAACATTCCAAAAGCTTTGCACTTACGTGGACTTTACTTTGAAGAGAATAATATTTTTCCCCTCATATTTTGTGTTGGTTCATCTTATAGCTCTACATCAGACAATAGCTTCCTGCTGGTATTGGTAAGGTCTTCATTGGCCAACATTTTTTAGAAATAGAAATGGAATACCATATTCTTCCTCCCAGTCTATCTTAGGCTAGAAGCTCTACTGAAATCCATCTAACATGGGGGCACTACTGGTATTTAAATACCAGTGGCATAACTTCCAACTGAGCATTTAATATGATCCATATTCTAGTACAAACTGCAATCATAAAGGAAGATTCCAAAATATCTCAACAATTCCCTTTATAAAAATGTTAATAAAAAGAGCCAGAACTTACCACAACAACTGGAAGGATAACCATAAATGCCAACCCATAAACAAGTAATACCTAGAATTGAAAAGGAAAAATTTAACTTTTGCCAGGTAAACTCTAACAACAGTGAACATTTATTTTCAGGCTAATAATATAGGAGGCAGGACTGAAAACACACTTCATATAGTCTCTTGTTTAGTTCTTTTTCTCAGACTGTTGTTCTCCTCTTGTAAACAGGGAATACATACAAGTTACACAACTTGTCCAAAGTTGCATAGCTGGTAAACTATTTACCAGGATTTGAACCCACATTGTCCTGCCCTAAAACTCATGTTCCTAATCATTGTAATAAATTGCTCTTCAATTTCCTACTGCCAATATTCATCAAATCCTCAGCATAACATGATTTTATGAATTATGTTTTCTTCCATTCAGGTCTATAGCCACACCCAGTGAACACTCAATATCTTAAACAAATGAGGGCGGGAAGTCTTTGGTTTAAATAGTTCCTCAGTCAACAGACCACTTTGTAAGGATCTTTTATTAAGAGCTGTCAAAAGACAGATATTGTTGTCTATTAAGCTCAAATTTTTCTCTTACTTTTTGATCCCAACTCCAGTATAGAACTATTTTTCATGCCTTATTACTCACACAGAGTAATTCTAAGTATGATAAATATGTATGTATACTCAAGATAATAAATTTTTTATGCCATAAAATAAGGCTTATTAGGTATTTTCAAAATAAACTATAATCAAAATTTAGAAACTATCTTTTTTAAAATGCTTGAAGTATCACTCCTGGATAATTATTTCCAAAACATGAGGTAGGAAATCATGTAATTGTGAACAAACATGGTTAAAATAATGTCTATTATTTCAGAGTTTTAGCACCTATCCATGATCTAATCTGTAATCTTAGTACCAACTTAACTACCACACAAAATATATTCCTTTTAGCACATATTAAAATTAGTTTAGACTGGGTAAAGGTAGGGGAAAAGACAGTCTGTATTTTATATTAAAAGCATATTCCTAAGGATAAATGTTCTTGTTATCATTAGGTGCTGTAGAGGACTCCTACTCACAGCCATCCTACACACAAAGAATGAATACTGCCCAATCCTGAAACATCTTTACAATTTCTAGAGTGATTAAGTCTGCTCTTTCAATCACTGTATCAATCCAACACACTGAGGGACCTCTTTTGTGGACCTTTCCAAGGAGAAAACCTGTGGTGTTAAGGGCTTACTGTTCAAAATGGTTTCCCTAGCCAGTGACTGTCTTTGCCATGTGAATGGGCAAGAATATGCGAACAGAGGACTGGTGGGACAAGCCAATCCCCTTATGAAGACTCCCCACACTCAATGACATACATATTATGGCTTTCATGAATTTTTTTTCAAATATTTAATTTTGCCTTAAACTTGCATAAGAGCAACTGTGTCTCAGCTGACCCCTAGCCATGTTATAACCTACAATACTGAAATTTTCCATCAACTCTTTCCAGAGATAGTATTCCACACACTCCATCAGGTGAGGCTCAGGGGTATAGTTGAGATATATATATGAAAGACTATTTGCAATGAAAAATAAGTTATTGGTCATACAAAGTTCTATCATTCAACATAGAGTCTCCTTTCTACCACCAAGCACATATTTCTAACCACAATCTTTCCTCTGTTTCCAACTTCTATAACCCATTTGCCAGTTATTATATTGTTGTTGTTAGATGCCACTGAGTTCACTTCAACTTGCAGCAATCCTATGAACTAAAAAATCTAAACCTTGTCCAATTCTGTGCCATCTTCATAATCTCTGACATGCTTGAGCCCATTATTATAGCTACAACGTCAATTCATCTGTTGTGTTTCCTTCTCTTTCTCTGACTCTTCCCCCTTTTACTTTTTGATGATTTCAATTTTCTTTTATTAAAATCTTAACCAAATCCAAAACATAAAACCAAAAATTTAAGCTTTCCATAAAACTTAATTCTCACTCTCTTGGCCCCAACAGTGAAAGGAGGCTTACCCATCCCCAAGTTTCCTAACTCCTGGACACACAGCCAAGGTTCTTCAAGGTTGTTTTCTGCTGCCGGAAAACGACTCTTACCCCTTTTCCAGCATTTCTTTTTTCAAAGACTGGCCTAGCCCCTCCTCACCACATGCCCAAAGTATGAGACAAAGTTTCACTATCCTTGCCTCTAAGGAGCATCCTAGTTGCACCTTTTCCAAGACAGACCTGTTCTTTTGACACTCCTTGAGATATTCATACTCTTCTCTCAACACCACAATTCAAAAAAATTCTTTTCTGTCATCCTGATCTACTGTCTAACTTTCAGATGCATAGGAAGCAACTAAAGAAAACCATGGTTTAGATCAGTTATCATTAATGTATCTTAACTGCCTGTTAAATCAATTTCAAACTGCAGAAGTGGGTAGAAATTCTCAATATCTTCATGTTTGGTTTTAGTGATTGATGAAGGAATTAATAATTATCAATATCATACTGAAATAAGACACTGTTCCCAAACCAACAAGGAGATTACTAACAAGAAAACTCAATCTAAACCTATGTCCAAAAGAGAAGTCTCTATGTCCATGTTTTAAAATGACTTTTTAAAAATACTTTAAAACATACTGTGGCTTTGAAGACATAGTTCTTAAGGACTTTACTACAAATTGAAAAGCCTCATTCTGGCCTCTCAAATCCACCAGTGGCTCTGTAGAATAAAGATGTGCAATTTCCTCTCATGTAATTTTCAGCTTCGGAAGCCCAATGGAGCGTCAGCTATGAGTCAATTCTGAGTCTGTGGCAATGAGTTGGGATTTTTGTTGTTGTTCCAAACCAGCAGCTAACACTAAGAACCAGTACCTTCCTCCACTTTGTAAAAACTCATCTACACTGGCGCTGGCTGAAAATCGCCTGTGACTTCATCCATAGCCACTGGTGAGAGTCAGCGCCCAGAGCCATCAGGGGCTTTAAGCTCGTTGCCCACTGCTGTGGTGTGAACAGCTGAAACAGGCCCCAACAGGCACCTGGGGGGGAAAAAAACCCAGACTCTACTTCATGCTCTGCTGGAGAAGGAGGGGCAGTCTCCTGTACCAGTCAGATCCAATTTGACGGTACACACACACACACACACACACACACACTTTTTCTTCTTTTTAAAAAAAGACTACTTCAGCAGTTGCAGCCCTCGGCCTGCAGCTTGGGGCGAGCCGTCACGGCCCTCTGCCCGGGGCGGGCTGCCCTCGGCCCCCGGCTCAGGGTGAGCCGTCGCGGCCCTCTGCCCGGGGTGGGCTGCCCTCGGCCCTCTGCCTGGGGTGGGCTGCCCTCGGCCCTCTGCCCGGGGCGAGCCATCGTGGCCTTCTGCCCGGGGCAGGCTGTGCTTGGCCCCCGGCTCGGGGCGAACCGTCGCGGCTCTCAGGAGCAAGAAGGCAGGCAGCTGTAACCCAAGACCACCAGTGGGGTGATAAAACATCCTCCCTTCCCCCCTTTATATCTACGCCCCTGTTCAGCATGAAGAAGCCAGAGAGTCGGCATCCAATTCCCAAATCAATAAGACAGTTGGCTTAATTACTATTGGAAAATGCTTGTCATTCCTCTGTAGCATCTGGTCCCCACTGGACCCTCATCATTTCCTTCACCTGCTCCCCCCACTGACCAAACTGTGCAGCTCTGCAACTGCATCCTGGCCCATCCTCACCCTTCTGCCTCCAACCCTCACCTTCTTGTACCCCCAATGTTTTTCCCAATAAAAAAAAATATTTAAAAAAAAAACCTCATCTACACAGTTCAAGTCAGAAGATGAAACTTTTTTAACTTTTTATTGTGATTTAGTGAATGTTTAGAGAGCAAATTGGTTTTACATTAATTATACTAACTACAGTCCCAAAATTATGATTGCACTGTTCCCACAAGGATCAAAGGCCTATAAGGATTATAGCCTCAAATGTTCTACTAGGCTCTACTAGACCAACAAAGACCAACTAACTCTTTTGAGAAGGGAAGGACATTATAGGAGATTCTTTACTTTATAATACTCTCATGTAAATTTTCCCACACTTTCTCCAACAAGTATATGTTTTAAGTACAGTTATATTTTAAAACAATTTCTTTTCTATCTATCTATCTATCATCTATCTATCTATCTATCTATCTATCTATCTATCTATCTATCTATCTATTTTATAATACCAAGACATGCCACGGATAAAACAAAAAAACATATCTATTACATTATAGTGGCAAGAAGTTACACTGCAATCTCAAAGGCTCAGGATCCAAATCCACCAGCTGCTTCATAGGAAAAGGATGGGCAATCTCTTTTTATGCTATTAAATGCCTCTGAAAGTCCACTGAAGGGTCAGGTATAGGTTGGTTCCAATTCAATGGTACAAAACAACATTATACTGCATCTTACTTAAAAGCACTCACCAAAATTGAATTTTTCTGGTCAACTATCCAAGCTGGCAGAGCAATTCCAAAGCTTGTGGCTGAAATATAAAAAGTAATATGGTTACTTAAAAAAAAAAATCACTCTCAGTTTTATTAGTATCCCAATATTTTGCTCCCTACAAGAATCTGAGAAAAATTAACTTGCTATCTATGTCCAAAACAAAAAAATTTAGGAATAGGCCTATCAGAAACTTCAAATTTTTCAAAACTAAAAAGAAAATTGTTTAAATGCATTGGTTTATTGTTCCTATAAAACCTAAAATTCTTTTAGATCCCTTGAATTTATTATATAAATATTATGAATATAAAATGTTAAAAATCACTAAAGAAAAATAATTCATCCACTCAATTTTTATCAACTACAAACTGCAAATGATGATTAATAATGGTGACCACTCTCTTTGACTCAATCTTAGTTCTATCTTTCAAACAATCTCTACAAAGAAAATTAAAACTAAAAATTAGAAGGAAATTTAAAACGACTTCAATTTTATGTATAATTCCTCAGGGTTTTAATCTTCCTATTCATAATCAAGAAAATATAAACATTTTTTTAAATTCAGTTGACATTTTCATTAACATATACCATACCAACAGCATTTTATTAATCGTTATGTAACATGCCTTGGGGCCCATCTGGATTTCCAAATTCTTCCCAATTTTTCCGGGACTCTTCATCAGTTAATCTAGAATCAAAAGAACACAGTTTCAAAATTAGAAAGATACAACTGAAAAATAAGTATTCATGCACAGAAATTCAACTAACCAAGAAACTCATTTCTTGAAAGGTGTTAATTTCAGAGAACCCAGAAAAGTCTCTCTCATAGCAGGCGGAAAAAGGAGGAGCTGGGGAGGAAAGAGCATGAAACACTGCATTAATAGAAAGGTAAACTACTGAGCCTCAATACAAGTTCCTGATTGGGCCATGGAGTCTCAAGTTTAACCACAAATCAGGAAATGGAACTTTAAAGGCCACTATGTTTTCTGAGAAGACAAGATGGAGTCAATATAGATTATTTTCACTTTTTCCTTTATATTCTCATGCATTTTCCAGATTTTCTTCAACGAGTTAATAATAAATACCTTTTTTAAAATAAAATAATACCTATTTTTTAAAATATGACCCTAATAAATCCCAGTTGTTATTACTTAGTGCTGTTGAGTCAAGTACAACTCGTAGTGACTCTATGAACAATAGATCTGAACCCTGCCTACCATGTGCCATCCTAATCATCTCTGACACACTTGAGCCCATTGTTGTTGTCACCCTGTCAATCCATCTCATTGAGGGTCTTCCTCTCCTTCTGCTGACATTTCCAAGCATGATGTTGGCATCCAAGGAATAGCCTCTGCCAGTAACATGCCCAAAGTACGAGAGATGAAGCTTTACCATCTTAACCTCCAAGGAGCAATCTGGTTGCATTTTTCCAAGAATGAACAATAGTAGTCCTATCCAAAACACTGGCACTATACAAAAGAACCCTGTAAAATACCACTGCTGTTGAGCAGCTCATTATAATTTGTCCTAATCCAAACTGCTAAAAAGAACATTTTCTTAATACAAACAATAGGAAGTGACAATGATTTTCAAACATTTAAGTATTAATGTAAATCTAATGGCTCAAAGTATAGAATCAGAGTGGTCTTGTTCCTAGTTTTATTCCTAGTTACTTTTTAAAGCTGGGAGGAGCAGGAAACTGCTCAGTCTTGAAAAACAGACATTCTTGGAAAGGAAGAAGGTCTGAGGAAGTCCCTCAACAAATGCACTGACTGACACAGTGATATAACAATGGGCTGGAATATGAGAAATGGTCAAGACGGACCATGATAGGGCATGATTAAGATCTGTTGTTTACACAATTGCTGTGAGTATAGTATATAACTCTGCCACAGTAAGTTAATTTTCCCATTGTAAGTTTGATTCTACCAGCTGATCTGCAGAGGAAGATGGGCAATTTTCTCCTGTGCAATTTACTGCCTCTGAAAACCTGCTGGAAGGACAACCATGAGTTCTGACTCAAATGGCACTCAACAACAACTAGAGCTATGTTACTATCATGAGTCTTAAAAATTCACCTAATTTCTACCTATTGTAATATTAAGAGCCAAGAGATAACTACTTTTAACTTAATTTACAAGTAGTCCTTGACTTTCAACAAGATTCTGTTCTACCAACTCGCCTGTAAACTAGTTCTGTCATAATTCAAGTACTCCCTTCTCAAGGACTACCAGTATGCTATTTCCCAAAGACTGCACAAAATGTTATTTGACATCTATAAAATGCAGATAAATGTCTACACACACAATGTATATGTGAATGTTTCTTGACAACAACACGGTATCTTCATTAAACAAACAAGGAAAATACGATTTGCAAGGTCTGAAAAATTCTTGAAGAAAAGTTTCTGAACATTAAAAAAGGAGGCCTTAAATTTCATAGCACTTCAACTAGTAATTAACAAGTAACTGTGTTGGTAGGTGCTATGGAGTGACTACAACTCATAGCAACCCTAAGAACAATGAAGTGAACCTTACCCTATCCTGCACTCTCCTCACCCTCTCCAATATACTCAAGCCCACTGCTACTGTCATTCTGTCAATCCATCTTATTGAAGGTCTTCCTCTCTTCTGGTGATACTCCACTTTTTCAAGTATGTCTTTTTTCAAGGACTGGCCCCTTCTAACAAGTAACTAGTTATATAAAAATTTTTTAAAAAGTAATTGCCATGAAAGTGGAATCAACTCACAACTGACCCTCCAGGAATTTTTAGGAGCCTTTCTCTCAAAACAGCTAGTGGCTTCAAACCACGTACTATTGGACTGGCATAACTCCTTACCCAAGAGACCACCAGATCTCCCTATCTAGGACTGTTGTTGTGCACTGTAGAGTGGGAACCAACCCATAGCTGACCCTCCAGCAGGATTTCAAAGGCAGTAAATTATACAGGAGGAGCCTGCTCATCATTCTCCCATGGAGCAGCTGGTGGATTTGAACAGCATACCTTTACACTGGCAGCACAACTCCTTACCATTAAGCCAGAGCTCCTTAGTAAAAAGAAACTCTGGAAAGAAAAAGTGCTAAAAGCAAAACTGAAACTTCCTTAAATAGTTTAAATTCTACAATATCAACAAGAAATGGATATACCCTAATAAAAAGCTGAGAAAGTGTGGATATACTCTAATAAAAAGCCAAAAAAGGAAAACAAGATATAAGTATATCCTTTCACAATCAAGATATTTAGAAAATGGTTCCATTAACACACCATTTACTACTTAATTTACCTTAGTTTTCAGTGTTAAAAGTGCTTCCATAAATGCCAACTCTGCAAGTTGCTTAAAATTAAGGTTTCATTAAATCGCCACTGCAGGGCTGCAAAGTAGTTCCATAAATTATAAAGTCAACATATGAAGCCAGCAATTACTATTATTTTACTAAAATGGAAAACTCTCTCTACTATTTATGAAAGTATGTAATGGGTTCTATTATACTTACGCTGCATAAGCTTTTGCTATCCTCATGAACATAACTTCATCACCTCCTTTATCTGGATGATATTTAAGAGACAACAAACGATACTGTTTCTTAATTTCTGCTACTGTTGCCCCCTAAAAGGAAAAGCCTTGTCACAATGCTATGAAGAAATAATACATTCTATTTTAACCTTAAAATACGGACTACTCATGCACACCCATGTTTATTGTAGCTTTGTTAACAACAGCAAAGAGTTGGAAACAACCCAAGTGCCCATCAACAAACAAATGGATAGAGCAGCTCTGGTATAGTCACACAATGGAATACCAAGCTGCATTGAGAAACAAGGAACTCATGAAATATTATACAAAATGGGTGACCCTGGAATGACATTATGCTGAGTTAAATATCTCAGTCACAAAAGGATAAATACCGTGTAGTGCCACTGTTGTAAAACGGGACTGACATCAGGGTTGGGGGAAGACTGAGAAAAATGGGATAAATTATATATACTGCATTAAAATAGATGAGGGAGAGAACTATTTAGAAGAAGGGATCTATGATTAGGTATTATAGTCATGACAGGAGTCCAGACGAAGGCTGCACAGTGGGGTGGACTTGGGGGGAGGAACTATAACAATGAAAGAATTTTTCTTTTACTTTTCAAAACAAAGGCTGCATAGTTGAGTAGACTTGGGGAGAGGAATTGCCTAACAATGAAAGAATTTTTTGTTTACTTTTCAAAAAGAAGAGCGAACTAGGGGAAGATTGGGCAGGGAGAAAAGTGCAAAAATGAATGAATGGAAATCCAATGTCTCTGTAAACTTTCATTAAAATTAATAAAAAAAAGGGGGCAGGAAACAGAAAAATGGATGACTCAAATATTTTTAGAGTACATTTCATCTCAAATATTTTGACTCATAAATCTTATCCCATAAATTTTATATTTTTAAGTAGAACTGTATTAATTCATTGTGTTCAATATTGTTTCACTAAGTACCTATTACGTGCCACACAGTATGCTATCAAATCCCAAGCCCACTGCCTTCAAACTGGTTCCTTCATTAGGTTTACTGTTGTTGCTGCTATTATATGCTGTCAAGTTATGTCTCATAGTTGGTCTATGAACACCAGCTCTGAACCTCACCATCTCCAACATACCACCTAACCCCAGTCACTGTGCCAATCCATTTCATTCAGGGCCGCTTTATTTTGCACTGAACTTTTATCCATCCAAGCATGATGCCCTTCTCTAAAGACTCATCCCTCTTGACAACGTTAAGCCCAAAGTATATAAGACAGAGTTTCAAAATCCTTGCCTCCAAGGAACAACGTGGTTTCGCCCTCTCCAAGACAGACCTGTTTGTTCTCTTGGAAGTCTATGGTATGTTCAATATTCTCTTCTCTAGCACCATAATTCAAAAGCACTGATTCTTCTTCTGTGATCCTTAGCCACTTTCCAGCTCTCAGAAGCATAGCAAGCAGTCTTTAGACTGACAGTGTTGCTCTTAGCACTCTGGAGAGGTCCCTGACAGCACATTTTCCCAATACAACTCATTTTTTTAATTTCATGACTGCTGGGGTCGAAGGTATTGATAGTAAGGGGTCGAAGGTATTGATTGATAGTAAATCTAAGCAAGATGAAATTGTTCAATTGTTTCTCCAACCATCCATCATGATGCTGCCTACTGGCCTGGTGCTTAGGATTTTTGTTTTCTTGATGTGGAGATGCAATCCATATTCAAGGCCGCAGCCCTTGACCTCCTGCAGCAAATGTTTCAAGTCTTCCTCAGTCTCAGTGAGCAAAACTGTGTCATTTGCATAACACAAGTTGTTGATAAGTCTTCTAATCCTGATTCCACAGTATTCTTCATAAAGACCAGCCTCCTGAATGATCTGTTCAGTAAACAGAATGAAAAGGAATGGAGAAAAGATACATCCCTGACACATTCCTTTCTTGATTTTGAACCATGCACTGTTCTCTTGAGCTGTTCAAACAACTGCTTCTTCGTATAGGTATAGGTTTCCCATGAGGACAACTGAGTGTTCTAGGATTCCCACTCTTCTCAATGTTAGCCACAATATGTTTTGATTCATAATCACAAACCTATGCACGGTTGATAAAACACAATTGGGCATTCTTCTGGTACTCTCTGATTTCAGCTAAGGTCCATCTGACATCAGCTATGATCTCTCTAGTGCCTCGGCCTCTTCTAAATCCAGCTTGGAGTTCTGGCAGTTCTCTATCGACGAACTGTCCTAGTGGTTTTTGGAAAATCTTCCAAAGATTTTGTTTGTATTTGTTATTAATGATAGCATGCAATTTTCCATTGGAATTCAAATTTCCATTGGGCTTACAAGGTCATAATTCCTAACATGAGGAGACTATCCATCAACATTTTCACAGAGTGGCTTAGCAGGATACCACACTATGCACTACACCAGTGCTTCTTATGGTAGTATGCTAGGTACTATGAATTTAACAAGTCAAAAATATATAATAATGCATCTACATAAAAAGATACTGGTTATTTAACATCAAAGAATGATCAGACATTCAAATAGCCCCTCAAAACAAAGGTTAAACACTTCGTTTGTAATCTAAGGAATATCTGGGCTTTATTTTTTTTTTTATTTCAGTATTAAGTAAACGCTGAGTAAGTTTGTTTTCTAATTCATAGCTCGATTTGCCAGGACTTAACAAAATTTACATTACCTTCTTATGACATTAAATTGTTCTGAAATCTTTTAATCTTAGAAAATCTCAATGACTAGGATAAACACAATTAAAAAGAAATTGATGATACTCAAACTTCTGGTCTACAAAGCAGAAAAACAAAAGACAGATATATTCCTCACTCGGCAGTATACAAAGTGTTGAATCAAGCTATCTATTGAGCAGAGAATAGAAGTAAAAAAAGTAGACCGGCAGGGAAAAGAGGCTGAAAGAAATACTAAATTCACTTGGCCATTAAGTAACTATGGAATCTCAGAAGAGTTATAAACTTCATCAACCTCCTTTCTGCTACCTTCTAATATTCTCCAAAGGCCTACTATTCTATTGGAACCCATCATTCAAACTCATTAAAAAGATCACCTAATTAGCAGACTCCAAGTCAACTTGACATTGATCACGACATCAGAATTTTTTGGAAAACTCCAAACATTATGTAACACATTGTTCAACTGTCAACCAACACAAGATAATAATAAGAGTTTTATCAAGTATACAGCTATCCCATAAGACACTGGTTCCAGAACCCACTCCCCTCTGATATCAAATCTGCAGATGCTTGAAAAACTTACAGAAAATGGCACCATATTTACATATAACCCATGCCTATTTTCCCCTCTAATTTAAATAATTTCTAGATTACTTTGAATAATACTATAGATACTATATTCTTCCTCATAGTTTTTAGTAATCCTTAGAGAAGAATTACTCTGATCACTTAATTGCTCCCTTTCTCCAGTACCCAAAATATGTTTTAATCCTAGGATGGTGAATGCGTACTCTATATACTTAAAGAAAAAAAATAGTACTTACAGGATCCAAATTTAATACTTCATAAGGATTGTATTCTTGATATTCTCGATCTGTTTTGGAAACTTTGTATGCAAGAAATAAAAATAAAGCCCATCCTGCAAGCAGAACAATTTTCCTGTTTAGGAGAAAGATAAGTGTAATTAAATACTTCTGTATGACTTCCCTGTAAGGGTCTAAAGACATTAGAGCAAGATCAAGCATAAAACATTCTAAGATAGGTCTTTATCAATATGCTATTGATTTACAAACTAAAAATTCTACAACCACTGAGTTGTAAACTGTTACATTAAGGACAGTCTTTCCTCCTTTGAATTTTCCAGGATTTTGCAGAATGCCTTACACATAGTATTCTCTAAGTTTACTTACTATTTGAAAACTTTTAAATACACAGCTAATTCAACTTTCTAACTTCTTAGAACCAAAAAAAATAAGATAAAAATGTATGAATACTAAGTGCTCAAAAATCCATTTAATGTAAAAATAATTGCTCTTAAGAAACCTAAGAATTCTAAGGCAAACAAAAGAAAAATAATTGGCCTTATTTCTAAGAGTAAAACAATTAAAACAACCTGAACTTCCATCACAGGAAAAAAACCAACTCTTGCAATTAAGTTGTTTCAGATTTATGTCAATTCTCCATCATGTTTCCAAGGCAGAAAATCTTAATCAAAGACACTGCTTCACATTTCTCTCAAGGAGTAGCGAGAGGATTCAAACTTTTAGCCTTTGGATTAGCAGTTCAACACTTAAATAAAGCATAAAGCCTAAATAAATAAATCATGAGAGATTTAGGGTTTTTTTAAAGGATACAAAATAAGACATAAGTTGAAAAAGTTACACTCATATCTTCTCCCTCGAATGTGTTCTGCTGTCTGAACCAATCCACAGCTGACCTAGCAGTGGGTTTTCAGAAGCAGTTAATCACAAAGGCAGAGACTGCCCATGCTGCTTCCACAAGAGCAGCTGGTGAATTCGAACAGCATGCCTTTGGGATTGCAATGCTGCTTCTTACCACTAGGCCACCAGAGCTCTATGTGTTCTGCTTAATTAAAAACATTTTAGAAGCTAAATATTCCCATTATGATAGATGCTAATGAGAAAGAACTCATAAAATCTATACTCAGAAGTCCTAAAGAAAAACATTCTTCTACCCATATTCCTGTTTAAGAAATTTGGAAGAAAAACAGTTGGGACAATGTGTTTAAAATTTCAAGGACAATTACAGATATATATAATGCTATTATTGTGTTGTTATGTACCCTAGAGTTGACTATGACTCATAGTGACCCTATGCACAATAGCTTCAGATCCAATCTCACTCTCTGACATCCCTATAATCATTAACCCAGTTACTGTGTCAATCCATCTTATCTAGCGTCTCCCTCTCCTTTGTTGTCCCTCAAACCCTTCCAAGCATGATATATCCTTCTCCAAAGACTAGTCCCTACATGCCCAAAGTATGTGAATCAGTCTCAAAATCCTTGCCTCCGAGAAGCTGCTTGGTTTCACTCTCTCCAATACAGAACTGCTAGTTCTCTTGGCAGTCGATGGAATGTTCAATTCTTTTCTCCAGCACCATAACTCAAAGGCATAAATTCTTCTTCTGTCATCTTTTGTCATTGTCCAACTCTCTAACACACAGCAAATACTTGCAAAAGCCATGGAATGGATCAGGCACATCTTAGTCTCTACACTGACTTCTTTGCTCTCCAGCACTCTGAAGAAGTCCCTGACAGTTGATTTTCCTAATGCAATTTATCTTTTGATTTCCTGACTGCTGGAGCCAAGGGTGTTGATTGTGGGACCAAGCAAGCTGAAAATGTTAACAATCTCTATCTCTTCTCCATCTATCTGATGCTGCCAATTGGCCCAGTGGTGATAATTTTAATTTTTTTTCTATTGAGTTTCATTCCATATTGCAAACTACAGTCCTTGACCCTCTGCAGCAAATGCTTCAGGCCTGCCTCAGTTTCAGCAAGTAAAGCTGTGTCATCTGCATAACACAAGCTGATGATGAGTCTTCCTCCAATTCTAATACCACATTACTCCTCACAAAGTCCAGCCTCCCAAATGATCTGTTCTGCATTCAAACTGAAAAGATATGGAGACAGAACACACCCCTGACACACTTCTTTTCTGATTTTGAACCATGCAGTGTTTCCTTGCTCTTGTTCTGAGGACTGCATCCTGGTCCAAGTATAGGTTTCACCTGAGCACAATTAGATGTTCTGGGATTCCCACTATTTTCAAGGTTAGCCACAAATGACTTTGCATTGTCAATGAAACACAAATAGATGTTCTTCAGGTACTCTCTGCTTTCAGCCAAGATCCATGTAACATTAGCAATGATGTCCCTAGTGCCGTGGCCTCTTTTAAACCCAGGCTTGTATTTCTGGTAGTTCTCTGTCAATGTACTATTCCAGTCACTTTTGGATAATCTTCAGCAGGATTCTGCTTGCATGTGATATAATAAAAACTAATAATATTTTTTAAATCTCCAGCCATCAAGTTGATAATCTTCCTCTAAACCTGATAAGAGCATACTTCTTCATATAGTCCAGCTTCTCAGACTACCTGCTCAGCATATGGAATGAATGTTGGTGTTCTTAAGTTCATTCATAGCGACACTATGAACAGAGTCGAACCCCATCCTGTCCTGTGCCGCCATCAACATCTCTGACACCCTTGAGCCCATTGTTGCTGTGTCTGTGTCAATCCATCTTGTTGAGGGTCTTCCTCTCTTTTGCTGACCCTCTACCATTACTAGTATGATGACCCTTTCCAAGGAATAGCCTTTCTTAACATAACCAAAGTATGCGAGATGAAGCTTCACCACATCCTAGCCTCCAAGGAGCACTCTGGCTGCATTTTTTCCAAGACATATGGGTTTATTCTTTTGACAGTCCATGAGATAATTAGTATTTTTCTCCAATAACACAACTCACAGGCATCAATCCTTCTGTCATCTTTATTCACTGTCCAGCTCTTAGGTGTATAGCAAGTGATTGAAAAAACAATAGCCTAAATCAGGAACACCTTAGTTTCAAATGAAAATCACTGCTCTTCAGTTGGAGAGGTCCCTGAAAGCAGACTTTCCCAATGCTATTCGTCTCCTTACCTCTTGGCTGCTGGTATCAAGGGTGTTAACATAGATTCAAGTAAAATGAAATCTTTGACAATTTCAATCTGTTTTCTATCTGTCCTGATGTTGCTTATAAGTCCCGTGGTGATCAGTCTTCTGATGTTGAGATATAATCCAGACAGAAGACTGCAGTCTTTGATCTTTTACAGCAAGTATTTTAAGTCCTCCTCACTTTCTGCAAACAAGATTCTGTCATCTGCATGTTGCTGATGAGTCTTCCTCCTATCCTGATGTCATACTCTTCTTCACAGAGTCCACCTTCTCAAATGATTTGTTCTTCATATAGACTGAATAGGTATGGCAAAAGGATACAACCCTGATACACACTTTTTCTGATTTTAAACTGACTGAATAGGGATTGTAATGGGTTTATACTTCAGACTCTACTGCAGAGTCATCAGCTATAAATCACATTGAATGGAACAGTGGTTCCAAAGAAAAAAGATCAATAATCCTCCATGCAATTTAGAGCCTCTAAAGAACCTGTTGGAGGGTCACAATGAGTTGGTTCCTACTAAACTGCTATGAGTTTGAGTGGCCCACCATGAAATACAAATTTGTTCCTCCTCCCCTTTCTCAGAAGTACAATCTCCTGCATTTCATTTTCTGAATTCTGTTCCAAACTTATTAATAATCACTTGGACAGTCTCTTAAGTTTTTCACAAACACAGTGCCGTATTTCTCATACTCTGATTTCACAATGTATCTAGCAAAGAGTAGGCACTGTGTGATTTTTAATTAAATCCGTTACTTACTTTACTGTAGGAATAATATTTGGCTGTGGTTTTAATAGTCTTAAGCGATACCATAAACATCTTCCATACACCTTTCTGATATTCTTCAACCGAATTTGCTCTATTGAAAAAGAAAAATAAGGTTAAGTTAAATTATTTTTCACAAAAAATAAAAAATAAGAGTTGCTTTCTCTTAACCTTTAGAATACTATTTTATTGATATATGAAAATACTCTTACTTAAATAACATCTTAAAACATTTGTTGTTGATGTTATGTTCTGTCGAGTGGTCTGTGACTCATAGCAACCCTATGTATAACAGCTCTAAACTCTGCTCTATCCCTTGTCAATCTTATGGTCTCCGACACATCTACCTCCATTACCCCAGTGACTGAATCAATCATTTCATCAAGGGTCTTCCTCTCCTGCACTGTCCCTCCACCCTCTCCAAGGACTAATCCTGCCTTGCAACATGTTCAAAGCATGTCAGACGAAGCTTCAGAATCCTTGCCTCCAAGGAACATTTACAAAGTACATTAATTGTTCAGCCACTGAGAACAATCAATCTATGTAGAAAACTTTATTACAATCATTTTTCACATAAATTTTAAGGAAAAAAACTTTGACACATACACACAAAAATGGCATGGCCCTAAAGTTCAGCAATTTCTCAATGTTTTCTTCTTCTCTATCATGCTACAAAAGGAACAAAGGAATAATAGTTTTAAGATGTAGTTTACAAAATAAATTCAGAAGAAACTCAAACAAGAAAACAAATGCCTTCCTGAATATACCCTTATCAGCAAAGTTTCTTTCTCACTGATTTAAAACAAATAGAACTTGGAGTTTTACAATAAAAATCAAATATCAAACAAAAGGTGGTGGTGGTAGTTGTTATGTGCTGTTGAATTGCCTGCAACTAATAAATAGCAACTCTAGGTACAATAGCTTGAACTATCCTGAACCAATCTCATCATCTCTGACACATTTAATTCCATTATTACCCCAGTCACTGAGTCCATCCATTTTATCCATGGTCTTCCTCTCCTGTGCTGTACCTCCACCCTTCCAAACATGATGTCCTTTTTATTCTTTATCCTTTTTTTGTGTATACTGTCAAGTCAGATCTGACTGGTACAGGAGGAGACTGTCCCTTCTTTTCTAGCAGAGCATCTGGTGGATTTGAACCCTGCACCTCTGGGACTGCAGTGCAGCTTCCTGCTACTAGGCCACCAGAGCTCCCTTATGATGTCCTTTTCTAAGGACTGTTCCCTCCTGGCCACATGCCCAAAGTAAGTTAAATATTACAAATTCTTATTTTTCTAAGTTTTAAAATAAAAATTTATAAAAACACGGTTCTTAAATGAGTTCAACCTCACTGTGGTTTAATCTAAATTATTTTGAAGACTAAAATTGTGAAGAATTTCATTTTACTTATATTTACAATCAACATCCACAGTAGCAGCAGTTAAGAAATCAAATATTACACTGGACAATTCTACTATTAAATAGCTCTTTAAAGTGCTACAGAGCAAACCCACAGCGTCCCTTTTCAGCAGGAAGTAGCTAAGAGAATACGCCATCCCCTTTCCCTTATGACTCAGGGTGAAGTCTCTCTCAGGGAGGAGTGATAGGGAATGGCAAAGGATACACTGACAAAGAAGATTAATCAGAACTGGCTTTGACAAGCACTGTGGCATTTGGACAAGAACAAACTGGGAGGAGGGTAGAGAGAATAGTGCAACAATGAATGAGTGGAAGCCCAAAATCTCTGTAAATGTTTATGAAAATTAATAAAATATAATTATAGAAAGAAAAAAAAAGTGCTACAGAGCAATGATATCAGTTTAAAGACTAAGGTGTGTCTGATCCAAGCCAGGGTATTTTCAATTGCTTTGCTATGTATGTGAAAGCTGGGCAATGAAAACAGAAGACCAAAGAATTGATGTCTTTAAATTGTAGTACTATCAAATACCATGTTGTTGTGGTTGTTATGTGCCATCGAGTCACTTGCAACTCATAGTGACCCTATGTACAAGAGCTCTAAATGCCACCATCTCAAACACACTCATTCCCACCACTCCACTCACAGAATGGATCCATCTCATCGAAGGTCTTCTTCTCCTTCGCCACCCCTCCACTCTGCCAAATATGATGCTTGTCTCCAAGGACCAGTACCTCCTTGCAACATGCCCAAGGTATGTCAGACAAAGTTTCAGAATCCTTGACTCCAAGGAACATTCTAGCTTCACCCTCTCCAGGACAAACCTGTTTGTTCTCCTAGCAGTCCATGGTATATTCAACACTCTTCTCTAGGACCACAGCTCAAAGGCATCAATTCTCCTTCTATTATCCCTATTCACTGTCCAACTCTCTGATGCATAGCACGAAACTGTAAAGACTATAGCCCAGATCAGGCACACTTTAGTCACCAGCCTGAGGTCGTTGGATGTCAAAATAACAAGCAAATCTGTCTTGGAGGAAGTGCAACTAAAGTGCTCCTTAGAAGCAAGGATGGTGAAATATTATCTCATCTACTTTGGGGATGTTAACATGAGTGGCCAATCTTTGGAAAGGACATCATATTGAGAAAGGCAAGTCACCAAAAAAAGAAGACCCTCAATGAGATGGACTTACACAGTGACTGCAACAATCGGCCTGAGTATGGCAGAGATTATAACTATGGAGCAGGATAGGGCAAGGTTCATATCCGTTTTTCAGAGTCACACCGAGTCAGAGTCAACTAACTGTAAGGCACCTAACGACAAGGAGTCGAAGCTGACTCAATAGCACCAAACAACTTACCACAGATATCTTGTAATTGAAAACAAGTTTAAAATTCTACATTTTAAAATCTATACTTTTCTACTTTAAATATATTTTGTAAAAACTTGAGGCTGCAGATTAGACCACTGATTTTCTAGAAATTATTTGCAGTGAAACCTAATTGATAAACACAGTCTGAATGTTAAATCAATCTGCCAAATCAAATTTTTGGTCAGATACATCTAACTTCAATTTTAAATTCAAATAAATAAAATACACGTCCCTAGAAAGAGTTATAAAATTAAACAGTAATACTCTAAAGTACTCAAGAGCAATGGTGTCTCTCTGGAGACTAAGGTGCGCCTGGATACAGGTCATGGTCTTTGCAATCACTTGTTATGCATCAGAGAGTTGGACAATGACTAGGGAGGATAGAAGGAGAATTGACACCTTGAGCTGTGGTGCTGGAGAAGAGTATTGAATGTTCCATGGACTGCCAAGAAAACAAACAGATCTGTCCTAGAGAGGGTTAAAGCATACTACTCCTTGGAGGCAAGGATTCTGGGGCTTCGCCTGACATACTTTGGACATGTTGCAAGGAGAGACAGGTCCTTAGAGAGGGACATCATGCTTGGTAGGGTAGAGGGACAGCGCAGGAGGGGAAGACCCTCTATGAGGTGGATTGATTCAGTGACTGAGGTAATCAGGATGGGTGTGTCAGAGGCAATGCGACTGGCACAGGATAGAGCAGGGTTTAGGGCTGTTGTACATAGGGTTGCTATGAGTCGCAAAGGACTCGAAGGCACCATAACAACAACAGCAACAACTCATGAGGGTCATATTCTTGAGATTCAATCAACCATATAAAACCAACAGGGCAGCATTTGTCCAAAAACAAAGCTTAAAAGGTCAACTCAAGTCACTGTCTTCCAGTCAGAACTCACTCACTCATAGCTGACCCTCCAGTGGGTTTGCTGAGGCTGTAAATCACACAGGATGAGACTACTCATCTTTTTTCCAATGGAGTCACTGATGGATTAAAATTGGTAGAGTCCACCTTTAGTGACATCCACTTCGTAAACAGCATGCCTTCAGAAACTCTATGAACATTGATAAATATCAATAGTTATAGAAAGGCTTCAGGTCTTTTGTTCAGAGGGTCGCTATGAGTTGTGCTCAACTTGAAGGTAATCAAAAACACCTTTTGATTAGCAGAGCAGTTCCCTAAGCCCTACACCATCACAACTCCCTTAGAAGGCAGAGGGGCAGGAAAGACAGAATTCCTTCCAGGAAGGAAGCAGGAAGAATATTAGAGTGAAGTAATTGTAATACTACAAAAAGTTCAATGGATCTACAAACAGGAGAGGATAAAATAGATGAATGCACATCCAAAAATTTCTCCAACACGGTAACAGATTGGGAAAAAGTATTTGGTATGACAAGTCAGATAAAGGGACTTATACGTAGAATTTATAAAACACTCGATCACCACAAGATAAAGGTAAATAACCCAAGTGAAAAATGGGCACAGGATATGAACTTCACCAAACACAGTCAGATGGCCAAGAAGCATGTGAAGAAATGTTCAAAATCCCTAGTTCTAAGAGAGATGCAAATCAAAACTATGAGACATTATCTCTCCCCAGTAAGAATACCAAAATTTAACAGAACAGCAAACATCAAATGCTAGCAAGGTTGCAGAGAAGCTAGAACCCTTATTCACTGTTGGTGGGAGTGTAAAATGGTGCAACCACTACGGAAGGCTGTATGGCACTTTCTCCAAAAGTTAAAAATAGAAATACCATTTGACCCAGCAAATCCTCTATTGGGAATTTACCCTAAAAACACAATAATGACCACCCAAGCAGATATATGCACACCCATGTTTATTGCAGCTTTGTTCACAATAACAAAGAACTGACAACAACTCAAACGCCCATCAACAAATGAATGGATAGAGAAGCTGTGGTATAGACACACAATGGAATACTCTGCTGCATTGAAAAACAAGGAATTCATGAAATATTACACTAAATGGATGACCCTGGAGGACATTATGCTGAGTGAAATATCTCAGTCACAAAAGGACAAATATTGCATAGGGCCACTGTTTTAAAACGGGACTGACATGGGGTTGAGGGAAGACAGACAAGGAGGGGGGGAGGAATGACATATACTGCATTGAAACAGATGAGGGAGAGAAATGTTTAAAAGGGATATATGATTGGGCATTACTGTAATGATAGGAGTTCAGAATGAAGACTGCCCAGTGGAGTGGACTTGGGGGAAGGGATTGCATAACAATGAAAGAGCTTTTCTTTTCAAGGAGAAGAGTGAATTGGGGGGTGGAAAGGG